TTTTTGTAATTTCAAATTATTATTATTTTCGTTTTTTCTGCCCACATCCCGGGGAAAAAATATTTTTATTTATATATTTTCAGTAATAACTACGGGTTCAACTGAACCCATAACTTTCGATGCGAAGCAAAAATTTGTATGTCAAAATTCATTAAAATTGTAAAAAAATAGAGATAAACCCATAACTTTAAAAATATAATGGGTTCAATGTTAAAAACATTAAAATTGAATCTATCGAATTTAAATTCTGGATCTGCCTCTATGTTGGGAGTATGAAATCTGGCTTAAAAAATGGCTCTCACGCGCCTACAAGGATGAGGCAAATAACACATGGAATCTAGTCAATTTTTGTGTCAAAGTGAAACAAAAAAAATGGGGTTGGAGGGCCAAAATGGAACAAGGCTGAGTTAAAGTGCCAAAATGAAAAATTTGGCCAAGTTTAATGGGTTGTCTATGTATTTGGCCTTTTTTATTTGTATTAAATTTTTTATTAACTATGTATAATATTTAATTGTAAATTCAGTAACTAAAGTAAATTGTGAGTTCATTGGCAAGCTAATTACTCATAAATTTCAAATACTAACTATACCTCTATTTATGGCCACATGATGCTAACATAATGACATCATAAAATGGTCATTTATGTTCATCCTTAACGACATCACATGTTATTTGATATCCAAACAATCAAAATTTTCTTTTTATACTAGAAAAAAAATAACACATAATCAAACCAATAAATAAAATACATAAGATTTTTGATGAATAGGCTCAAAATAATTTTAAATTTTGGGTTGTATCTCAAGTAAATTTATTATGAATGCTAATTAAGCAAACTTTGTGGGGAAAAATATATGAATATTTAGATTCTTTGAATCAAATGGGGCCACAGATTGAAGAAAAGAATCTTAGATGAGATTCCATATAAAAAGAAAAAAGAACAAATTTCCAAGGAGAAAGGATCACATGAGAATGGGCCAATTATTTATACAAAATCATAAATCAAGGGTCCCAAATGCTAACATAATGATATCATAATTTTTCATTAATGTTGCAACATTGACTACTATATCTTATTTACAATGGTTGCTTTAAAGAAAATATTATGGTTGCTGCTTGTATGTTACCTAGTTTTTAAAATCTTATTTTGTATGTTACTATATTGTCAGTATTTTAAAAGGCGAAAGCGTAAGACGGGACAATTTATTTGATACGGGACGAAGCGTAAGCTTTGAGATGGGACATAAGCTCCGCGGATCTTTAAGTTTTTTAATTTATAATTAATAATATAAACTATAATACAGAAAACACAAAATATATATTAAAAGTTCAAAAAATTTAAAAAGAAATCATAGAAACAAAATTTCTAGCATATAAACCAACTACAACGCCTTAACTTTCAAACAGTTAAAAATCATAATTTCTTAAAAAAATATTAACAAATCTGCACATTTTATCTCCCAAAAAATAAATATTTAATAAATTTTATCAATGCTATAATTTAAAATATTATTATTTACTCCTTCACGAGTAAATGTAAAATTAGTTTTAAATAGCAAAATAATAAATGCTAATAATTAGGTTAGCTAAGATAAGAATTCTTTCCAAAATTTTCTATTTTGTTGGTGGCGGCTACAAAAAGACAGGATGAATTGACTCAACCAAAATGTTAGCCACTTAGCTGAATCAGTAAGAAAATAATTAATACGGTCCTGTAACTTAATTTTGTATAATTAAAATAGTAAAGTCTGATCAAATTAATATATACTACTATGTACGAGAAGGGGAGCCTTGGCGTAACTGGTAAAATTACTGTCATGTGACTAGAAGATTACGGGTCCGAGCCGTGGAAACGGCCTCCTGCAAAAACGCAGAGTAAGACTGCATATAACAGACTATTGTAACTTAATTTTGTATAATTAAAATAGTAAAGTCTAATCAAATTAATCTATAGTAGTATGCACGAGAAGGAAAATATTTCATAACCGGTAAAGTTGTTACTATGTGACTAGGATATTGTGGGTTCGAGCCGTGGAAACAGTCTCTTACAGAAACATAGGATAAGGCTGCATACAATACACCTTTGTGGTCCGACCCTTTTCCGGATCTCGCACATAGCGGATGCTTAGCGTACTAGAATGACTTTTTGTTTTTTTTTGTTTTTTTACTATGTACTATGTTTCAAAAATTTAAATTAAAAAATAAAAATAATCCTAATAATAAAGATAGAGAACACGTGCTGGTTAAAACAGGAGAATTTTATTATTTATTCAAAACCAAAATAGTCCATAAGAGACCGAATTTCAACAATAACACCCAGTATAATTCCATTTAGTGGGGTCTAGGTAATGTCTACGCATATCTTACCCCTACCTACCTAGACTGTTTCCAAATAGACCCCCGTCATCCTTCCCTCCAAAAACTTCCCGCCTTGCTCTCGGGGAGACTCGAACTCACAACCTCTCGATGAGACTGAATTTCCTTAACCATAATTATAAATCTTCTCGTCACCTCCTCCTCTCTATCAAAAAATTAGGAGAATTTGCGGATTTCTTCGTTAGCTATGAAAGAAGAAGAAGAAGAAATCTAGAACATATGGAATTTGCAGAATTAGCACTTTTTGAGCATATAATTCCAAATTTGTGTGCAGATTATCAATCATAACCAGGAATTATCTGTTTTTTTCTCTGTTTAAAAAATAGCCAGCTCGAAGTACTGTTGCTATCCTTTTAAGATTCCATTGGATTTTCTGAATCTCTGTTTCTGTATAAAAATACAAAAAATTAAAATTAGAGCTTTGTGTTTGTTGATGCTCATCTAAACAAAAATCTTCTGCAAATTACGGACACGTATAGATCAAGGTAATGTTTTCCATTATCAGAAACTTTTTGGAACTTTTCACGTGAATATCTGCACACACACACACATATATCTGTACATATATACATACACACACATAGAATACACACACATTTGTGTGTGTATGTGTTCGTCCCAATCATGTACTGCTATTGCTCATTAATTTGGCTTCTTTTTTTAAAAAAAATTGTGCTGTTTGGTTACTTTTTGTGTGTGTGTGTGTGTGTGTTTTGGGAAATTTTTGAGCTTTTTATATGAATGCTGAATTTTTGCTTATAAAGTTGCTGTCATGTGATCAGGGGGACACGGGTTCTAGCCGGGGAAATAAACTCTTGCAGAAATATCGGGTAAGACTGCGTACGATAGACCTTGTGGTTTGGTACTTCCTCGGACCCCGCGCATAGCGGAAGCTTAGTGCACCGGGCTGCCCTTTTTGTATGAATGCTGAATTTTTGCTTATAAAGGTTTGGTTTTTATATGGGATATGTGTGTGTGTGTATCAGTGTATGTATTAGATTGATTTGAAATTCTGTCAACTGAAATGATGTACAGCTATTGCTATTTAATTTCCCCTTTTTTTGAATTCTGTATTTTTTGTGAAATTTTAGATCACCTTTTGTATGGAATTTGAAGTTTTTTTCTGATCAATTTTTAATTTTTAATTTGGAAATTGTAGTGATCAGGGGGGAGCTAGAGTGTCGGAGCAGATTCGGCTGAACCTAGTAGCTTTAGGTCGAATCCTGTATTTGTCTAAAAAATTTCAGAATCACGTAATTTTAAACGATTAGAATCCCGAACCCATAAGCTTGAAATCCTGCCCCGCCTCTGGGAGTGATACTGGTGTAATCTACTTGAATTGCATGTGAATGACTGAGCTTTGATATAAGCATGTGGAAGAAAGAGAGTTTTGATGAGCTAGTTACTAAAGATCTTTTAAAACTCAAGTTTTGATTAAATTGGTTTGAATACAACTGGTCTCTGGTTCTGTATAAATTGCATTAATTTTTCCTTTTTTTCTCAACTGAAAAATAAGCATGTTTTCTTTAGCTTGAAATTGAAGATTGTAGAGAAAAAGTGTGTAATATCTAACTACAAAGAAAAAAGATGCAAATCATAACATATTAGAATAAAATGAGAGGATGCCTTCGCGTTATTTCTGGTCAGAATTTCCAATGCTTGACTTAAATCTTGAATTGTTCCTTCCCTCTGAATTTTCACATGACATTTAAGTTGTTTAAGGTTGCCATGATATGTCAAACTTAAATGGTGTTTAACAATAATTTTGCTGATGCATTTCGTTTCTACATATAAGATGATTTTGTTCCCCTAAACCATAGCAAGGACTTGACAGCGATCTTAGCGCTTGGTTATTTCAGTAAGTCTAGCTGTGTTAATATGCAATTGGGATTTGTATAATTTCTTATTCGATGTCCAGCACCCAAATACTCTAGCTGCATACTCTGTGGAAATCAATTTCTCATCACTAGAAATGTGGAATCACAACTTATCTCATTCCCCTTATTTCTTTTTGGTAAATGCAGATAAAAAATGGTTGCTTTTGGGAAAAAGTTGAAGGATAGACAAATCCAAGAATGGCTAGGGTATGTCCATTGTCCTTTATGTAGAGTTAGTTTCCGCACTTTTTTTTTCAAGTTGGTGGAAACAAGAGATTGCACTAAATTTTTGTGAAAAATTATGCAGCAATTTGATCTTAACGATGCTCTAATTCTACATTTCTAGATGAACTTTTGAACTTGCCACGTTTCTTTTTAGTAAATATACAGTTCTAGAAAATGTCGCATTGTGAACCTTTCGACCACAAACCTTATTGCAGTCCTAATAAGACAAACCTTCTTATGATACTAATTGATAATGTGTCTTGATAATAAATGTAGTAATAATTGTGGCAATGCAGAAAAACAAAGTTTGCCTATTACATTGAATGGTGAAAATCAATTTTGTTGCAGATACTATATCAATTACAAATTAATGAAGAAGAAGGTTAAGCAGTATGCTAACCAAAGCCAAGCCGTAACATTGGATCGGCGATATGTTCTCAAGGATTTCTCCAGAATGTTGGACAACCAGGTGAGGAGATGGGACTGATGCACTTGTATCCTTAGATGTGCATATCAACTCAGTCGTATTAGATATTTTGTTCTTCCTGTGTTAATGTATCAACTTTGGAATTTATCAATGTTTATTGCGAGAGGTTTCTAGGATGTTGTATTATTAAGAGTGATTTTGAAGGCTCTTCGATTGACTACTAATTCTTCCACTAAATAATATTTGATCTTTTCTTGAATCAGGAAAAAGACTGTGTATATGCTATACATTAGTTTCGTGTACCTTTGAGTGACTGAAGCAACATCAGTATTCAGTCTCCCAAAAATAATCAGTTGTTGAACCCTCGTTTTGGAGAAAGATTTTTCTTCCTAGATGAAACTTGTAGGAAAAGGCGTTCTTGTTTCAATCACTGTCTTACTTGCCATATTTGTTTCCTGCTATGGCTGTTGCATCATTTGTTTCTTGCTCTGTTTATGTTCTAATAGGTTTGGAGCGGTAAATAATATTCCTTAGAAATTAGTCTATCTTTATTTGCTCGTACTGTTTATGCATAATTGGATCAAAGGAATACTTCTTATAGCGAAGAATGCTTCAGGCACATCATGGTGATATGATATTCTTCTTCTTAACTTTTTGCAGATTGAAACAATAGTTCTCTTTTTGTTGGAACAACAAGGAGTTCTTGCGAGCAGGATATCTGAACTTAATGAAAAGAAAGATTCTCTTCAAGAACAGCCTGATATATCCAAAATAAATGAGCTACGAGAAGCTTATCGAGCTGTGGGACGTGATCTTCTAAAGCTTCTCTATTTCGTTGAAATAAATGCTATTGGATTACGGAAGATACTTAAAAAGTTCGACAAACGTTTTGGCTATAAGTTCACCGATTACTATGTCAAAACCCGAGCTAATCATCCATATTCCCAACTTCAGCAAGTTTTCAAGCATGTGGTATTATGCTAATCTCAAAGTGCTATTCTACTCTTCTACTTCTACTTTAATAATGCTACTACTGCTACAACAACTGCCATTTCTTCTGAGATTTGCCTTTTAACTCATTACTACTACGTCGTTTCTTGACTAAACATGAGACTTGTATTTGTTTGCACTAGTGTTACCTAACGCAACCATCCCTGAATGATGATTGCAGGGATTAGGGGCAGTTGTTGGAGCAATATCTCGTAATCTCGCCGATCTGCAAGACCGTCAGGGAAGCTACTTGTCAATTTATGACCAGCCAGCTCTTCCTCTCCAGGTTTTAGTTTAGCTCTGTTAATCAGCTTTGGTTATTTATTTAGGTTTACAAAAATTATAGTCTTGTGCTGTTAAGCTCTAGATTTAAATTCTAGACATGCTCGACTATTTTCTTATCTGGTTTGCAGGACCCTGTAGTGGACTCAATGCAAGCAGCTGTTGATAGATTGAGTCATTCAACAAACTTCCTTAACTTTTTGGCTCAGCATGCACTTATCATGCAAGAAGAATTACCCTCTCCTGTTGAGGAAGAAGTTGATGATCAGAAATATCATTTTATGTCGCTGCTGTTAAACTTGGCAAATACTTTCCTTTACATGGTTAATACATATATTATTGTGCCAACAGCAGATGATTATTCTATGAGCTTAGGTGCTGCTGCAACAGTTTGTGGGATTGTGATTGGAGCCATGGCTGTCGCACAGATCTTTTCGTCTGTGTATTTCAGTGCTTGGTCAAACAGGTCTTATTTCAGACCACTGGTATTTAGCAGTATAATTCTTTTTATTGGGAATACCATGTATGCATTGGCTTATGATCTCAAATCAATACCGGTTCTGCTTATCGGTCGTTTATGTTGCGGGTAAATATCTCTACTCCCTCCTCTCCATCAAAGTGCATCTATACATGTGTTTTCATTTATTGATATTTTAAATATTTCTTTTTTGTACTTGGGACGGGGGTGGTGATGGTTGGGGGATAGTTTATTGTGTATTTTGTGTCTTCTTTTTATGTTCTTAATTTTGCAAGTGTGTTATCTAAACTTGGTGATACATTGTCAATCTTGTAGAAAGCAAAGTCGTTTAGTTAACTTTTATGTATTTGTTTTTAACCCTTAAGTACATTGTCGTCGATGGATTTTCTTAACTGTTAGCTATTTAAATTACATGACAAGATAGACCTAAAGTCACGTGAACGGAAATTGTATACAAGAACCTACAATCTCTCAGAATCAATATAAATTTAGGTAAGAACAGAATACAATAGAAGTAAGGATTCTATAAGAAGAGACCGGCTAGTTGGAATTATGATATATTTGTGGTTGTTAAACTTACATTAGGTTCGGTGTTTTTTAGGAAGATAGAGACTTATATGTCAATGTAAAGACAAATATGATATTTAAAGGATCTCTAATTTTGAATGATTCCCTTCAATTGCCCTTAACAACAACAACAGCAACAACCAGTAAAATCTCACAAGTGGGGTCTGGGGAGGGTAGAGTGTATGCAGACCTTACCGCTACCCCAAGGGGGTAGAGAGGCTGTTTCCGATAGACCCTCGGCTCAAGGAGATGAAAAAGATAATATATCAATACCATCAACAGAAATAATAACAGCATCATAAGTACCAGAAAATAGATGAAAAGCAATAACAATAACACGTAAGTTATGTTGCTCGGACTCTCCGAAAATGTGGCCGGATACGTGTCGGATCCTCCAAAAGTAGTGCATTTTTGAAAGATCCGACACGGGTGCGGCTACATTTTGGAGAGTCCGCGTAACATAGCACGTAAGTAAGGCTCTCAATTGCCCTTAAAAACAGGTTATTTATATAAGAGTGCAATAAGTCTGGATAAATCAGAATTAATATTGAGGATTCATAACCTCGACTAGTTTTGGGATTGAGGAGTATTTGATTGATTGAGTTTGCACATAATTATAAGACTACAAGTTGACAAGATGGTGGCTTGCCCTTTTTGCGGAATTGCAGATTTGGTTCCGCCAGAGCAGTGAACCGTCGCTACATCAGTGATTGTGTGCCACTTAGACTTCGGATGCAGGCTTCAGCAGGTTTTGTTAGTGCTAGCGCACTTGGAATGGCATGTGGCCCTGCACTTGCTGGTTTACTTCAGACAAATTTTAAGATTTACAAGTTGACCTTCAATCAAGATACTTTGCCCGGTTGGCTTATGGCTTTTGCATGGTTAATTTATTTGGTATGGCTGTGGATCTCATTTAAAGAACCCGCTCGCGAGGCTGAAGTAAACAATGTTCCTCAAGAATCTAATGCTGGTAAGTTCTACTTCTCGTTTTGGTTATTAGAGCTGTCACTACCCCAAACTGCATATATTAGTGCCGTTGCGCTCTCCTTTTCCCTTAGTCTTTGTAATCTGAAGAAAAAGGGGAATTCAGGAGACTGTTGTGCGACTTTTAAGCAAAAATAATCACAAAAAATTGTAAGCTTGTAAGTAGCATGGGAGGTGCATTTAAAGATAATGATTAATGTCATTACTCATTACTGCAATACAAAATCCAAGATCTAGAGTGCTCTCATTCAAGGGGCTTTGAATGAAACCCACCTATATTAAATTCAATTCAGAGAGGTGGCAATGTTGAACATTTTTCTTTCCTTCTCTTCTATGTAGTTTAAAAATCGTATAATATTCACATGTGTGATGTGCACAGCGTTGTCAGTATTTGATATTCTGTTAAATGGTTCTCCTGAATAATAAACTTGGATTGGTAGACTTGCCAATCTTTACTCGGGCGAACTTTAAATATGACTAGAAGAAACTTTTCGTAACTTTTTGTGGACCTGTTTTAATTATGAGCCCATAACTGCCATGTATCGGTGTCTTCCCAGCGTATATTCATGTCGGTCGACAAATCTAGTCGCTCACAAACATACATTTTCCAACTCATATTTGAACCTTGTAGACTGGATTGAAGCATTATTGAAGATTAGGGTAGAGTGTGCTATTTACCCAATGTTGTGTAAGGGAATTGCAGTGTGCTACTTACATTTTGTTTCTTTAAATGTTCAAAATAAAAGTGTTGGTTTGTGAAGTAGGAAACATTCTCATGATCACTGTTTTCATTACGTGCTTCTATGGGTAAGGATACATATTAAATTTCTGTTGCTGAAGTAGGCATTAATGTGTAAAGACTGGTGTCATAAGGTCCATACTTATTAAATAGGATCTGATAATTCATCTTTTGGTTGCCCGAACCAGATGCCCTTGAAAAGGGTGTTGTGGAACCATTGCTATTAAAATCACCAGAGAATCAACAAGATGAGGATGAAGAAGATGGTGACGAGAGTGAAGAAGCTTCCAAGGAGTCTCATCAACCTGTTAATTCCATAGCAGCAGCATACAGATTACTCACTCCTTCTGTGAAGGTATGTTCAACTCTAAGCTCCTTGCTTCTTTTTGTTTGACAGAGTGATCCAGTGAAATCACTTGCTTTTATTGCGTGGAATGTTTTGTCTCTTTATATGGTTTTGGGCAATCCTTAACTCATGAGCTAACTTTTGGAGTTGAGTTAGATCCAGAGTTCTTTCTTTACATGGTATCGTTGTTACTGTGTATCCCAATATTAGGTCCCCGTGTTATGTTGTCCATGTAGGACCCAAAAAAAAAAAGTGAAACATTGAAAAAGATGAAAAAGAAGTCATATTGGGTGGCTTTGAAAATTTAATGGGCTGCTGAAAAAAAACATGGGCGGCTGATTTGAATGA